CAGTTCACAATTCGCGAGCTCTCTGAAGCCCTTCCTTTAGACTCCGTTGGCAATGACCGATCCCCCACTGTTCCCCTATAAGCCATGTAACATCCCCCCCCGCCCCAGCGAAAAATAATGACCGATCCTTAAGATGAAGCTGTATAATATGACGAGTTCAACGACGCCCTCTTCAGGGGGAGAGACCCTAGCAAGGAACAAGTGACGTAATATGGTATGACAACCAGTGAAGTGATGAAAATGACTATGTTACGGGTTCAAAGTGTAATTATTTTATGAAACATAAAGTAAATATCCGTATGAAGGAATGGTATTAACCATTCGAAATATATTTATGAATTTCTTCCCCACGAAGTAGTTCGATGAGTTTGTTCAAGCAATTCTTTTTCACACAATTTCTAAGCACGACCTGGTTGCTAAAATTTACGGAACTTAACCCCTTGACGCGTGATAGCTGTCCTCAGCGTGGCAACTGCGTGAATCTACGTGTCGATTGCGTGGCTCACTCCGTGGAGTGTGAAGTGCAGGGACTGGAACCTACGTGATGTTCCTTGTTTGCAGAGCAGAATCGTAGGCAGTGCTCGAGAGCTGCTTTGAAAGGTCGTAAGAAGACTGTGGGATCTGTTTAATTATCGGTGAAAACTCACTATTTCTTGCACTATGGGTGAGAAACCGTTGACGGATGCTGAACGGAAGAGGCAAATCTCTCTTCGACGGCTCCCGATCGTAGAAGGTGTGAACAGTCTAAAAGAAGCTTTTAATCGCCATTTGCACTACTCGCTCGTCAAGGACAGAAACGTAGCAACGAAACGCGACTACTTCGCTTCTTTGGCGCACACAGTGAAGGACAAATTGGTTGGAAAGTGGATTCGAACACAGCAAGCTTATTACGAGAAAGATCCCAAGGTATTAATGTATTTTGTAGTGGTCTTTTCATTTTGACCCGTAGTAAATTTACCAACATCCATATTTAAAAAACACAATTCATCTTTTTAGAAGTGTGTTTGGTTTAGAGATGTTCATGGCGAAGGAATTTTTCATTTCTTTTAACCATGATTGTTTTCTGCTTTCATTTGGCGAAAGTTCAACCTACCGGCTTTTTAACAGCAATTATTTCCCTCTACCACAGAAATCGTGAACTTGTTTTTCCAACCCCTGTGTATGTTGAATTGGAGCCAGGCCACAATTTTAAAGCTTACGTCTGAACGGCATTTTTGTTCTATATTGACTGCTTTTGTGCTTGGAAGGTTTTGTAAAGAATATATAAGTCATCAAAAATTGTGCAGGCATTTGCGGTTGCAAGAGCACAACCGTGACAGAAAACACGTTCTTATTTTGCATAAATTATTGGCAGGCATCTAATTGTTATCAACTGGTCAAGTTCAGTTGACCCACTTATGCGCGACATTGTAGGAATTAACATTTTTTTTAAGCACTTTGTTCTGTTTTGTGTTTTTTTTTTTGTGGTAATTGAACTTATTTTTTTTGTATTACTTTGTTTTGAACTGATCCGTTCCATCAGTTTCACTCAATAATTAGGCTGTCAATATTATGTAGGAAACCTCAGTTTACGAAGTACAGGTTTCCAAAATAATGAAAAATTCTGTTTGATTAGGATCAAGGCAGAGCAAATAGTGTTTATGTTTGATGACATTCCAGGACATCTGTTAGATGTTTTAATATCCAGTCATTTACCAAAGGTTTAAATAAGTAATAACAATGACTTGTAGATGTCCACCGCTTTTTTTGAATGAATTTTAGGGTTTGTGGGTTAATTTCATGTGAAGATCATAACTAAACAAGGAAAAAATGTCAATCAGCTGGATTTGATTTTCTTTGGTGATTTTCCTCATTTTGTACCCAGAAAACCCTCATGAGCCATATTTTAAAAGACAGCAGTTTGTATTAATGATTTTAGAGGAAAAGAACTAAAAAATCAAAGAGTGATTTTCTAGTATACAGTGTCTAATGATGTAGATAGCTCTTTGTTGAATATTTATATTATGGGTACATATAATTGTGCAGTGATTAGCAGCAAGTTAATGTTACAAAATTAAAATGCTCTTTGATTTAGTGGCATAAAACCAAATCCAAGGCAATGCTGTTTCATTTCCAGTGAAAAAAATCTTATTTCAGAGTGAGATCTAAAACTTGCTTGGTAATTACATGTACCCCTAACAAAAAAAATTACATCTTTTCTAAAGGTCTCTAAAAGCACAGTTGTAATATTATTTTTGTTATTTATACTGTTACCATTATTGGGTTGACCTGGTGTGGAGAATTTTGTATTAAATCAACTAATAATCTTCTTGATATTTTTGCATATTCTCATCACTTGTGTGCTTGATATTGTATGGAAATTCTGTCTTAATCACTTATAGAGTTACTGGGTTAACATCACATAACATAATATAACTTTGTTGAGCACTAACTGACTTCTTTTATTACCATGGAACTTTCAGTAATGATCAGGCTCTGACAAACTCAGTATTTTTCACTTTTTTACATTGGCAGCGTGTATATTATCTTTCACTGGAGTATTACATGGGCCGCGCGCTGACAAACACTATGATCAATCTAGGAATTCAAGGAGAATGTGATGAAGCCATGTACCAGGTAAGGCCTGTGCTTTAGGACACAACCCTCGCTATGTTCTTTGTGTTTTTGAGACGGATAATTTTTTGACAATCAGGAGGTTCTTCAGGTGTTGATTGTTACCTTTATTCTCATGACCTTTACATCTGATTAAAGGGTGATACTGTTCGGAAAAATCAGAATCCAGGCACTCTTTGATTTTAAAGAATTAATTTTATCACATAAACTGCAGTGTTATTCAGGGATTTCTAGCCCTGAGAAAAGCTGTAACAACACACGTGCAAAAAATATCGTATTTTTTTTTACATGTGTTGATATAGCCAATCAGCTACTGACATGTCACTCACCTTTGGCACCACTCAGTCAGGTTGATAAATGAACAGCAAAACCTTCATAATTCTCAATACAAGTTATTTGTCTTGAGAATCCTCGAATTATGGCGGCTAAAACACTAAAAAATATGTATTGCTGACGGACAGTGAGGTTGAAACTTTCTTATAAGGGGAAGAAAACCAATATACTTAAAGAAAAACTTAAAGTGACATATTCAGTGGTTTTGGTGTTAGCATTTCTCTCAGCCGAGAATGAAAATTGACAACTAGAAGATTGTCACTGGCTGATTTTGGCTGACTGTTTACATGAAAGACTTCTTATGTCAGTAAGGACAAAGTCAATAAATGAGAATTTTGTAAATTGAACATTACGACCATTGTTGGTTTTGTAATCAGGATTCAATGCATTTTTCCATCTTAAGAGTTAGCACCAATGCACTCTATGATTGTTATTCGGGGATTGTCAATTCATTTATCTTCATTCATTAATGAAGTTGGCTTTTCTTCCCAGTATATGGCTACTGTGTTTATATGATAAACAAAATAATACATGGTTGCTTGTAGATATAGAATTTCTCTTCTTGTGTTCACTCGTTTGGTGCGCTCACTTGTGAGCTATCAAGTTAACACTCGAAGAGAAATTCCATATCTACGTGACTGCCCATGTATTATTCTCTATTTATATTTGTGTCACACTATTTGAAATGTTGACTTTTTCTCACTCAACCCATGTTCCCTGATGTGAAATTATTTACTGGTAAGAGTAAAATTTTTGTAATTTTGAGGGACTTATTTATGCTTGATATAGCTTGGCCTTGAGATGGAAGAGTTAGAGGAAGTTGAGGAAGATGCTGGTCTTGGAAATGGAGGTCTTGGAAGATTGGCAGCATGCTTCTTGGATTCACTGGCTACCTTGGGTTATGCTGCATATGGCTATGGAATCAGATATGAATATGGAATATTCAAACAAGCTATTGACAGTCATGGAAATCAGGTCTGTGAAATAACTTCTTTCCTTTTGTTACCCCTCTTTTATGTGGGTGAGTGTTACAGCTGTATATATATGTTGTTTTTTTTCCTTGGTTTTATGTCTGCAATTGAATATTTACTAGTACAAGTCATATGAATAAAGCTTGTGTGGTAACATTCCAAATTCTGTCTGGGAAAAATTTCCCAGATGATAGCTACACTGTGTTTTGGCTGTATTCATTGCTATCAACCTTTGATCAGATTGCTAATTCTCCTCTCCAGCTGTTATACATTCCATGGTAAATTAGTTATGAGATTTTGGTGTTAGATCAAGATAACTTCTACCTGATAAGTTTGAGTATTCTCATTACCTGTTTGCTGGATAGAGTTTGGATGTGGTAGGGAGAAGTAACATGTTGATCAATTCTCAAAGTTAAAGGATTAAACAGTCATTTTGTGTGATGAGGTACTTCTGTAGCCTAAAAAGAGCAATTGGTATGTATTATTTGGTTAGGTTGCAATTATAGCTTCCTCATTTCCAACAAGTTAGAAAAAAATACCCATTTACCAAAAGAACCCAAAGACCCAAAGCAATGTCTTAAAATGTATGGAATACATCGGAATAACATTGATATGCTTTGGTTACTTGGTGGCAAGGGCCAAAGTGCACATCCATGGTACAGGTCTCAATGGGCAAGATATAAGTTCCATGCCTTGTGATCACCAGTTAACCCCCCATAACTGACCAATACAGAATTTCTCCTTACAACATTGATACAATATCAAGCTGGAGAGAAAGGAGAAAGAGGAGAATAACAGTTACTAGGTGATTTTTATTTGTTGATCCAAAATGAAATTCTCGGAATGACACTAACAGAAAAAGAATTGTATAACAGACAGTAAGGAGAGTTACTAAAATTAAATGAGGTGAAAACTTAGGAATTGTTAAAATTTTATTGTGGTTTGATTTAGAAGGTAAATTTTAACTCAATAATACTGAATGAGTCATGTCACTCACCATTTCATAGATTGAGTTGCCAGATGACTGGCTGAAATTTGGATGTCCTTGGGAAAAGGCTAGACCAGAGTACATGATCCCTGTTCATTTTTATGGAAGAGTTGAGTCAGACGTAACTGGCAAAACAAAGCGCTGGGTTGATACAAGTACAGTGTATGCTATGCCTTATGATCAACCCATCCCTGGCTATGGCAACAACACTTGTAACACCATGAGACTGTGGGCAGCTAAATCTCCAAAGAGTTTTGATCTTTCATACTGTAAGTAACTACTGAAGTCAGGGATACTCAAGTGGCAAGTCATGTGGCAGTGAGTAGGTTGTTTCTGTGACAATAAGCAGACTTTTTTCCTCCAAGACAATTTTTTGCATTGTGCTATCAAGACTTTTTCCCTCAGAGTGTGTGGCAGTTGTGTATGATATTATGTTTTGCTTTATTTAATGCCAAGAAAGATACATGTACTGTCTCTGCAATGACTTCTCTTTTTTTTCTCTCTTTTGGCGCTAACATACATGTTTGCAATTTGATAAAGAACCTCTAAACCCCTATCACTTTGTTCTTTAATTTTGCAGCCATCTGTAGATAGGAATTCATGTGTTGATTAGCTCAAAATAAATCTGTATTTGACTGTTTTTGATATGTTTATGGGTATATTGAATGAAGGGCCATTACCTATAAGCATCTTGACTATTGGCAGACGCAGTGTATCAAGTTGATTTATAACTTTAGTAGTTTTCAAAAATGTTTGAATAGTAAACTGGTTGAGTTTCTTTTTTAATATAATTTATATATTTTTATTCTTTTTTCCAGTTAATGATGGAGATTACATAAAAGCTGTACTGGACAGAAATGTGGCAGAGAATATTTCAAGAGTTCTATACCCAAATGATAATGTAAGATGTTTTTTAATTTTGATGGTAATCAGAAGAAAAGAAATTAACTTTAAGAACTAATGAGACCTCAAGTAAACCCAACCAAAGTACTTGTGGGTAACAAAGTCTTTGAAAGGTTTTAGTTTGCATCTGATTGACTGAGAAAGTACCACAAGTTTTCTGAACCAATCACAAAGTGTTCAAAGTAAAGCAAAACCAATGCAATGTGGGATTACTTTTGATGCTCATTTAAAAATTGCTCTAGAAATTTACTTGCTCATTACTAATTAACTCGACATGAATATCCTTAAATTTTTTTATTTTCTTTCAGTTTTTTGAGGGGAAGGAGCTACGCTTGAAGCAACAGTACTTTATGGTTTCTGCCACACTCACTGACATTGTTAGAAGATACAAAGCCCCAAAATTTGGTTCCAGAGAAGCTGTTCGCACAACTTTTGAGGATTTTCCAGACAAGGTTAGTTCCAGAATTGCCTCAGTGGAAGGATTCTTAGTCATTCAGTGTTAACCCTTTGGCTCCCAGATCTCATTAGTAATTCTCCCTACTGTCTGGAATTTGATTCTTGTAATGTTAGTTTGGAGAATTTGATGTGGGATCAACTAATAATCTTCTAATTTATATTTTTCTTTATTCTAATCTCTTGTCTGCATAATATCACCAAACTGGTTTTTTGCTTGTCAACATAATGACCAGCTCCCAGTTGGCTTGTTAGCTCAGTTGGTAGAGCACTGCATGGATATTACAGAGGTCATGGGTTCAAATCCCGTCCAGGCCTGAAGTTTTTTCAGCCCTTGTTTTTACTACTACTTAAGTAGTGCTCAACACTGTGAAAATCAATTTATTATTCATTCATTGAGAGTAAGGTCACATTATGTAGTAGCTGTGCTATATATGGACTTGACATCATCTGCATGTACCTGTTTATCATTTATGTGAAGATTGAGGGGAGAATTATTATGCATTTACTTGAATTTTTAACAGTAACAAAAAAAGAAAAAAAATTAGGAATGACAGAGAAGTGATAAACCCTCTACACCTTAACATGGGTATGCATATTCTCCTTAATGTTCTCATTACATTTCCTAAGGTGCTGCCGAAAAAGAATTTGTTTAACAATTAAGAACTGCTTTAGTTGGTGATCATTTCTTCTATTCTTGTGACTTACATGTGTTATCCAAGGGTGTTAATGTAAGGAGAAGGTAGATGTTAGTCACTCTTAGATGCTAAGGGTTTATTTGCTTATTCACAGAGCTGCTGTTTTATTTTTCAGGTTGCTATTCAGCTGAATGACACTCATCCTTCTCTAGCCATTCCAGAACTCATGAGAGTATTCCTGGACATTGAGAAACTCAGCTGGGATAAGGTAAGACAGCTAATGTAAATAAGCAGAAACAGAAAAATAAAAAAATACAAAGTAAAAAAATAGCCAAACAAAGTAATGAACAAATCAACGTTAAAAAGATTGTAGCTGTTTTTTTTTTAATTTTTTTTTTTACTTGTTGAGGATTAGGAAAAACTTGACTGGATTTATTTGATTCACTTCATGCAAATATGTCTTATACATAAAAGAGGTTCTAAAGATGTATAATATATATGTAAAGGCTTTTTATCTCCAAGATTAGCACATGAAACAGTTCACTTGTTGTGACCACATTTCTGAATGATTGAAAGGAATTGAAGGAACAAAGCTGTAAATGTATATCTGCAATGTAATTTGGTATTATCAACTGAGTTAATGTAAACGGGCCACTGCAAAGAGTTACAACACTGACGCTTGAGTGTTAGCCCTTCGTCAGAGGGAATTGAGGAATTGTGGGTTGTGTGTGTTTGTTTATGTGTAGAAATTGGACATCGTAATGAGAAAAGAAGAATAAATTAGTGGAATGAAAAGTGTTTGTTTTATACTTTGGGGATGAAGAGTACGGATTTGAAAGATAAATTTTTGTTCTAGAGTCTTGTGGCTTTCTGAACTGCCAAGATGTAGGGAAAATCTGCAAAATGCCATATGCTGCCTAGAAACTTACCCTCTTTATTCATGTATCTGCAATACACTGACATAAAGAAATGAGTTTTGTACAGAAATTAATTCATGTGATGGGTGCTAGATTGGCCTGAAAACAGGCCCTCATTCTTAGTGCTGCAGGAGGTGCATCACTCCTTCTGCGTGGAGATTTGAGAGTACCAGACCCCTTGCCGACCTCTCAGTGGCTTGTGTTGCTTAAGGCAAACAAATAATTATTAGAAACACCTGTGCCAAGGCACTCACACTGAGGACCAGCTTACAGGCTTATATGAGATATGAAGCAGCACCTTGGTGCATATTGTTCCATACATGTGTACTGTTTTGACTTCATAGGCGTGGGATATTTGTGTGAAGACTTTTAGTTACACCAATCACACGGTTCTTCCTGAAGCATTAGAAAGATGGCCAGTACACATGTTGGAATACATTCTGCCCCGCCATCTGGAGATCATCTATGAAATAAATGCTCTCTTCCTAAAGGTAAGGAATAGTATTGGGTGATCTGTGTAATGTATGAACCACAGTGACCCCCCACACCTTTTATACTTATTGCCACAAATTTGTATTCTAGTTTGTGTAGCCTTAATAGATTGTAACCAGTACATCCTGTGGATGGAATGAGGGAGTTGACAGGAAGTTTACTTTCACTCTAACCTCTGAGGCTTCCACTGGCCATGACCAATATCCACTAATTTTTTATCGGGATGGAGAGAGACTTTGTGAGGAGAAATTTTTTTTTGTTCCTCGAATCAGCATGATCGGGCTTATGCGTTCCACCTAATATGTAATTTCACTATCTGTTCGCAGAAAGTAACAGAGAAGTGGCCAGGAGACCTGGAGAAAATGCGACGAATGTCTTTGGTGGAAGAAGGACCTGAAAAACGCATTAACATGTCACACTTGTGCATTGTTGGTTCACATGCAATCAATGGAGTAGCCGCTCTTCACTCTGAACTTCTCAAAATCTCTGTGTAAGTGTGATTTACACACGATGTAATCGTGAAACGAGATTCTTTTATGTGGTACATGCAGTAGCAAACCTGCAAATGGTTGGACTTGACGATTAAAATGATCATCTAATTTATAATAATTTCATAGGTTTAAAGACTTCTATGAGATGTTTCCAGAGAAGTTTCAAAACAAGACCAATGGCGTGACACCTCGACGATGGCTTCTTCTTTGCAACCCTGGGTTGTCAGATCTTATCTGCGAGGTAATACAAATCGATGAAAACTCTGTTAACCCTTTAACTCCCAGAAGTGATTTACTTGTAACTTCTCCCTGTAATATCGGTTCATTACCCAGCCAACAGGTAATGAGAATACAAAGACTTATCAGATAAAAGTTGTTATCTTGATGTGACACCAGATTCTCATGACTTATTTACAAGGAAATGTGTAGCAGTTATCAGGGAGAATTAACAATCAAATCTTGGGAGTGAAAGGGTTAATTTTTTATTTACGTTCATTCAAATGACAAGTGTTTTCCTCTCTATAATCATTGCAGAATTCTCCTTCAAAGGTTGATCAAAGTGAATTTTAACCTTTCGATGACGAGCGTCTACATCTGTTTTGTTACTTTGCTAGAAAACCTTCCAATTGGATGAGACCACCAATTTTTTAATTGTTTTATTGGGGTTACTTATGTTATATTTAATGCTATTCTGTTGTAGAAAATTGGTGAAGGATGGATCACTGATCTTTCTCAGCTCAGAAAGTTAGAGAAGTATGTCAATGACAGAAACTTCAAACATGCTATCATGAGGAGCAAACAGGTTAGTATTCCTTTGGTTTTAATATTTTCCAGTCTTCGCATAAAACTATGACTGTGTTAAAGCACAGTTTTATAGACCATTGCTCTAGTTTTCTGATGCTGCAGATTTCAGGTGTGTACATAACGATTCTCGGAAAAAGCGCAAAAGTGCACACGACAACTCTGAATTGCATTGTAGGTGTTTTCAGATCACGGTTCCTTGACCGCAGGATTTCAGGGAAATCTTAGAAACGTTATTGTAAGGAAGAGGCACAGCGGGTTTGAGGAATTTATCTTCTTCGCAATATTGGTTACAATTTTAAACCTGATGAAAAACGAAAAAAAGAACGAACTGACCCTAATGAACGGCGAAAACGATGCAAACTCAATGAGAGCGAATTAGAAATGACCCAAAGAAAAATTTTATAACGTAATATCGGATGGTTTTGTTCCGCTGGTGTACACATACATTTCTCCCCTCTTCTTAAGTCCTTTTGTCCATATTTATTTGTTCCGCGTTTTAAAATTCATTTGATTATCGAATACCCAGATTACCTTTCGAGATTGTCGTGTGCACTTGTTTCCGACAACATATATGCAAACAGCTGCATACATACTGCAATGCAAGGAAAAACTATCAGTCGTTTCATTGCTGTGCTGGCCTAAGTTGGCCATATTGTGACAAAATAAAAAATACATTGTACATGTATATGTCGTGTAAACTCAGTTATTTAGTCTAAACTTCAATAGATATCGCCTTCTAGATAGCAAACAATGGGGGGACCCTCCGAAAGGAGAAACACCATCACCATAGACCAGGGGCTGTCTGCGTAATGTGAAAATGTGTCTAACAATAACTGAAATAGTCTGCATGAGTGTTTTCAGAGAATTATTTCTACCAAACTTGGTTTATCAACTGAGTTTATAACGTAAATTGGCCGCCCTAAAGATTTTCAGGCTGATGTTTCGAGCGTTAGCCCTACGTCAGAACCATTCTTCCGTTAATCTTTCGTGCATCAGTTTATTCGCTAGTTCTTTCATCAATGGATTAAAGGCTAATATTAGCGTCACCATGTGCATTTGCAGGAGAACAAGATCAGACTTACAGATTACATCAAGAGAGAGTATGGCATTGACGTCAATGTGAACTCCATTTTTGACGTGCAAGTAAAACGGATTCACGAGTACAAGAGACAGCTTATGAACTGTCTTCATGTTATAATTATGTACAACCGTAAGTACATTTAGGATACTTCTTTTTAGCCGAAAATAGGAACGTAGGAAATTCTAAATGTAGCAATCCTCTGATTTATTTAAACCCAATGTATCTCCTCGTTACACTTCAATAGTCTTTGCTTCTATGTGATCAGTTAATAAAACGAAGCGCGATAATAAATGGCGCTATAGTGAGAAGACACGGAAGGGTCGCATATTGTACGAGACCCGACCCATACTCCTTCGTTTTATTTCACTCTTCCGGTACTTTCGCGCCGTTTACTACTGAATTTACTACATAAAAGGCATCACTTACATGTAGAAATGAGTGTTTTTAGTACTTATATGAATATTATAAATGGAAAGTTGTAGAGATGTTGAATCAGTGGTATGAAGGAAATTTTCAGCCAGGGAACGTGGTCTTGATATGGATATTAAGCATGTAATCTTGTGTTGTTTATTGTGTAATTCACAGGACTTAAGGCAAATCCAGGCATGGAGTTTGTTCCACGCACTGTCATGATTGGAGGAAAGGTTAGTATGTGCATTATGTATAATGGGAATGCAATTTTTTGTTACTTTATTGTTAGAATTTGTGTTTCTGTTTTGGCAGGCAGCTCCAGGCTACTACATGGCCAAACTGATCATTAAACTCTTCAACAGCATTGCCAAAGGTGGGAATATGTTCACAAAAATGGAATTATTTATTCCTTTAAGTGTTAGGTACCAAAGGAACAATGCCTGCTTGTCATTTGACACTCGTTACTTCCACTTTGTTTGCGTCCGTTTGCTGTTTTTTTAACGAGTAAAAACGCTGCCTATGGATGTTTAAAGTGAGAGGAGACGACACTTTTAACTTATTACACCTAACTTGATGTATTTAGGCTTTTTACTCCCAAGATTTGATTGTTAATTCTCCCTTCTGGCAGCCAAACATTTCCTTGTAACATAGTTACGAGGGTTCGGTGTTAGATCAAGATAACTGACAACTTCTGCCTGATAAGTTTGGGTATTCTCAAAACTTGTTTCCTGGATAATGTATAGATATAATAGGGAGACGTTACATGTTAATCACTTTTGGGCATGAAAGGGTTAAAAGGAAAAACGCAAGCCTGCCTTTTTTATGGTTTTGGTATAGCTGGGTAGCAAGATAACTTTATTGTTTTCTTTACCGTGTTACTCTGCGTGTAATTACTAGTTTTTTTGCGCGATCTTTCTTTTGTAGTGGTGAACAATGATCCAATCATTGGGGACAAACTCAAACTTGTGTTTCTTGAAAATTACCGAGTCTCACTTGCTGAGAAGGGTATCCTTTTCATTCAAGCTTTCTAACAAGTAGATTGTAATGTACTATTTTCTCTAATTATCACGCTAGTAAATGGGAAAAAAAAAACTTAGGGTAGATGGGTCAGCGTTTTCGAAAACTGGTCTGTTTTTAGAGAACATTTTTACATTTATGGACGGAAGGCTTTATTGTACGCTATACTTGCATTTCGTGTTTTTCTGGCGTGTTGAAGACGGGCCTTGTAATAACACACGATGAAAGACTTGGAGACCACAAGACCTTTTCACTGCTTATGTTTTTGCACATCCAACTTCAGCGTAGAAAATTAATTCTTCCTTCAAGTTGGAGAAGCTCATGTTCGGTGCATGTTCAAAATTTTTTAACATTTATAATTGAATTTCTTGACATCGTTCCTCAGTTATCCCAGCAGCTGACCTCTCTGAACAGGTAAATTCGCATAACCTTTATTGAAGCTTATTGTTCATTCTTAGGTCTTCATTTCATTTTATCAGTTGATTGCGCATTTTAATAGGAGAGCTAGAAACAGCACCGAGACTTGCCAAGCAGAATACGTACTGTAACGAGCTCTGAATATGTCGCAACTTGTGTACGTTGCAATATTAGATTTCTAGTTCCAACGCAATTTATGACAAATGCACTGCAGGTCTCTCAAGAAACAAGTGCGATTTCTCAAAGGGTTTAAATTGTCACCTTTCTGTTGTAATTGGCATATGACTCGATCTCTTTTGTTTTTCTGGCTCAATGTGTCTGATATGATTAAGACTGACGACGGCGTGATGTAGAGTGCTCAGTTTGCCTTTGTATTTTAGGGTGATGAATTGATGAATTGATGGATGTTAGGAATCATCTGATATTTATATTTTGTTGTAGATATCCTTGGCGGGGACTGAAGCATCTGGGACAGGAAACATGAAATTCATGGTATGTAACACTGCCTTTTTGACACCATGTCCAACCTTCCCATCTTATGTACGCTGATTTAATTAACTCTTCCTTGTCAAATTTTGTTAAGCGACGCCTTTCTCCGTTTCGACCGCTCGCGGGAAGATTTGAGACGAGTTGAGGAGAGTTTTGCCGGGGTCTGGCATTAAAGGTGCATGACCCCTCGCAGATTTCTCCCCGATTCGTCTTGCTTAAGGCCTTTTCCGTTCGATTGACAATCAGGAGCTTCTGAATTTGGTGACCATTTCCTCTTTTGGCTTTTTATTTGATTCAAGGTGTGATACTGTGAGGGGAAATCAGAAGCTAGTCACTCTTAAGGGATGAAAGGATTGACAGATGTATACCATACCACTAGCCATTCATGTGAATAATTCTCAAAAATCCGCGCGTAAAAGTTGAACCTTGCCCTACTGAAACTTAGAGGAGCTAGTTTTACGAGGTCCGGTAGAGAAATTGTTTTGGCCCATTCTTCTCTACTTTTGAGCGCTTCTCCGGGAAGAACAATTAATGATGTCGTTGCTCTCTGCTCGATGTACCGAAAACAGATATATGAATCGTGACATCTTATAAAGATAATAACTAAACGTGACAATGTGCTGTGAAATTGTTGAAATTTTAAGTTCAAAATTACATTGAATGAGTGATCGAAGGGTTCCTGTTTTTATTCAAATGAAAGATGAATGGTGCGCTGACCATTGGTACGCTTGATGGAGCCAATGTGGAGATGAGGGAGGAGATGGGCAGCGAAAACATCTTCATCTTTGGAATGACTGTTGACGAAGTCAATTCCTTGAGAGCAAAAGGGTGAGCAATAGAATTAACAAACAACACATGCGATTAATACAGTAGCTTTTCATTAAATTCAGGTGTAAAGCTGTAGTAGCTGGGAAATTGTTTAAACTACGACTACATACCGCTGTAGCAACTAGAATGAATCCAGGTCCGATATCGTGGAGGGATCGTCACAGAGTTCTCACTTGTATTACTATTTTTTGGGGGGGCGGGGTTCTTTGTTGTACTGGTACTCTTTGGTACTTTATGTTGGTACACTTTGTTATACTGGTAACACTTTGAAAAGTTCTCTGTTAGTGTACTTGTCAAGGAAAATTTTTCCGGGTTTTAAATTCCCCTTAATTCTTTGCAGTTTTTCAATAGGTCATCTACTCTACACGTTTTGCAATTGCTCCTTGAATTTTATCCCACTACAAAAACTGGCTGCTCTTTTTTTTTTCGGACAAGGGGACTTACATGATTTTCTGCTGTACGCTATTTATGACTTCCAAAATATTAAATCACTTTAAAAATATAAGAAGACCACCAAGCAGCGCTTATAATTGATATAAAATCAATTATTTTCGTAGCTATAAGCCAATGGATTATTACGACAACAACACTGAACTCAGGAAAGCCATCAATCAGATCAGAGACAATCACTTTTCACCGACTGAACCTGGTGCTTTCCAGGATATTGTCAATTCTCTCCTGCATCATGATAGGTAAGCACGCAATATTATCACCTGAGTTGATAACGTAAATCGGTCAACGTGAAGAGTTCCAAAGCTGTTGTTTCGAGCGTTAGCCCTTTCGTCAGAGCGGTTGATGCTTGAAACGTCAGCTTTGAAACTCCGAACGGTGGCCAATTTACGTTACTCAGTTGATAATACCAAATTACCACGTTTTAAGTGATTGGCCTGCCCGATCTCTAACAATTCAAGTTTATGTTAGGCCGCACTTCTACCGAATATCATTTCCCTGATAGACTACGTATATTCCCTGCTTTTCGACGATATCCGTCGCACGAGTTAAAAAAAAAAACAAAACAAAACTATCGGTGAAAAAAGAAAGTTAGTGCCGTGTAGTCCACGCGGAGTTCTACGCGGCGCGCCAATATCTATTCTTTTTTTTCTCACTGACTTTTTTGAATTCGTTCAACGTATCGCTTGAAACTAGAGATTTTAATTCAGAGTCCTTGGCGTTTACCACATGAATAAAGAGGCTGTTAGTCCTTCAATTAAAAAATCCACGTTACAATATTGTTTATTTCCCCCCCTGTTTCTGTTTGGCAGGTTCCTTCTGATGGGAGATTTTGATGCGTACGTGAAATGTCAAGAACGGGTCAGCGAAGTATTCCAGGTGCGATTCAGATCCAAGAATGTTTCTATTCGGGAACATTCTTAACTTATGTCCGCATTATACATATGTCCACAATTTCACCGGGTCTTTGAAATGTATGAGCGATGTGGCTGATAGGGGTTTATGCGACATCTCAATTGACGCTTAAAACTCGACTAACTGAGAAGAAAGTATTCTATTGTTTATAAAGAGAACGCACAACAGTGACATCTGCTTACGCACTCGCGCGTGAGGTTTTTCGTGAGATCTTTTAGGTTTTGATCTTTACTGAATGAGATGGATGCGAATCAACCAGCTAGTCAGTAACGAACCGACGCCAACTGGTTACGAATCGTCTGAATTTGGGAACTGAGACCGAGTACGAAACGTCCTTGAGTACGAAACGACTGGATCCCCTTTCCTTGACCAGTATGGCGGATCTGAAAAATACGCCTGCCATGTAGGCCAGTAAAAGAGCTTCTTAAGATTTACTTGTTGTACTTGGCTTCACAGGATCCTGACCACTGGCACAGCATGGCAATCATGAATATTGCATCTTCTGGTAAATTTTCAAGTGACAGGACCATCAAGCAGTATGCAGATGAAATCTGGGGTGTGAAACCTTTAAGCACTAGTGAAGTGAAGACCGTCAGAGGGAAATAAGCTGCCATTTTGCCAGTTTAAAGAAAATTGGTGCCTCAGCAAGGGTTTTGCAATGAATTCCTAGGCCTGAATCTTTAAATAAACGGTTATATTTAGTGCTATATATGGCAAATTTAGTGAATGACACTTGCTTACATGTATGTGTTGCTTGCTCTAAGGCTCTAAATTTCAAACATTAATAGGTTTAAGCTATGGTAAAATTGTTGAGCTATTTGCTGCAGTTTAAGTTAGATGTAACATAAAGTAACACAGAGCAATTACTAACCACTAGAGGGAAAGTAGGTCTTTATTTGGTCAAGAATTCTTGAGGTTCAGTTTACAGCATTGTACAACGGGTAAGAGAAACGAGTCAAAAGTTGCAGTAAGAGTCAAATAGTGTAAAGAGCTCAAATGAGATTAAACATCTCCAAGTGTAGTTTTCAAGAGTTAGAAAATACATAAGATAATACTAACCTAGGTAAGTTGAATTCTTGATAAGATCCAATTGAAATGATTGGATTGATGATCTTACAATGGAATAAATGCGTTTTTGTTAAGCTTGTCTTGCCCAGGTGCCATTGTTCTATTGTTTAGGGTTAGTTGCCCTTAGGACTGTTAAAATTGCTTTTGAGATTTGTTATTTTTCCTAAAGTAGCATTTATATAGCAGTAATTGCTGTAGGGAACTATAAAATGTTTGGAGTTGTTTAGTGTGATTTGTATATCAAGCAATCAAGGCTTGGTCTCTTGCCTGTTCCTGTACTTGAGTTTTCCTTTAACTCTTGTTTGCCACTTTTCTTTGTAATGATTGGCTGATGGGATTAATTTTAAAGCAATCAAATTTTAAGTTTGAATCAAAATCTGTAACATGTGTCAATGTCGTAACAATTTTTTACCCTTGTGTTGAAAAACAATTCTACTTATTCTTATTAGCAATTTGATATTATTAAAAGGTTCGCTAAAGAAATGATTTACAATTGTGATAAATTATTAACTCAAATAAAACTCAACACTGGTTCCCTCTCATCAAACATGCCTTAAAATTGAATCAAACATAAATTTCACAGCATGGAAGGGAAATGATCATTGAAAAACATTGAGGTTGGTTGGTTTGTTTGTTTTTTTTTGATGGTTTTTTTCTTGTGTTGTGAGCAGAAAATGAAAATTGCAACCATTGAATGCTATCAATAAACTTGTGTAATTTTCAGTGTCATTACCATTATCACAAAACAAACAAATAACAAACAGTAGGCATTTAGTACTTAACTTTGCATTATAATAGATTACAATGCTTCGCTAGTACTGTGAGTATATCTCAACAACATAATTTATGTAGTGGTATTTAAACCTTTATTTTGCATATGTCCATTACAGTAAGTAGTGACATTTTTCCCATGAATAAGCTGGATAACTGATTAAAAAAATATTCAAGGTATTATTTTTCTTCTAGTTTTGTATTTGTGGTGCCATACACTCTTCTCTATGTCATGTGCACCTTTAAGTCAGGTGATTATGGATAATAGTCACCTTGTAACAAGAACAATAAGAAACAATTTGAATGGCATGTGCTGCATTGCTTTAATTTATTTTCCATGGATGTAGGTTTTTTGGAAAAGTACAATAAATATTGATAATATGATGGCTTTTGATGGTCTGGCTTTTTGTGTACTTATTAATTAACTTATTATTGAGATCATCTTTTTGTTATTTGCACTATATGTTAAATGGCATGATGGAAGCAGACAAGTGAACAAAAACAAGGGAGGTTTTGGCTGACCTACAGTCAAACCTCCATCACTTCTTCACTCTACTGCTACTATTGGACTGTTCACTATTATTTGTTCCATTTTACTGACTGAATGGCTGGAAGAGGCTCTTTAACAGGATTTTGGCAATTACCCTACCAGTGGTGGAACACAGTGCAGCTGTAGATCAAGCCCAACAGCTGGTAGAAATAGTAATGAAAATGATGATGATAAAGATGACAATGATAATGATAATAATAGATACTAATGATGAAGAAGATGTTACTGATAATGATGAAAGTGATACTGATAATGATGATGATGAAGATAACGATGTTGAAGATGACACTGATAATGAAAATAATAAAGTCACTGTTTATTTATGAAGATGATACTGATACTGATGATGATAAAGATACTGATATTGACGGTGATGAGGATGCTGTCCATTAATGATCAAGGAAGACCTTCACAGTTTTTCTACTGTCATTATAGTATTTCACTACACGATCAAATTCCTTAGGATCCAAATCAACCAGATCAATGTTGTAGTGATAAATATCACCACTAGTTATTTCAATGGCTGGTAGAGAAGCTTCTTTCTTTGATGCTCTCTGAAAAGAAACCATCATAGAGCAATCCTTTGCAGTAGAGGCGACGGCAAATTGACAGACCTTGAGTAGCCTATCATGTTCGGTGTTTGGTTTGTCATTCAGATCAGAGTTTAGATCTGTAACTGAAGGTGCTGATGAAGTAGCATCTAAGATGTTACCATGAAGAGAAGAAGCAACCCTTTGCCATAATGGTGTGGTGAAAGGACCATCAACACCAAGACTCTCTCTAAGTCCTGGGTTAGACTCAAAATAACTTAACACCCTCTTGTACAGAGGGTAAATTCCCTCCACATCAATGGCATCTAATTTCTGCACTAACAAAAGATTTTGTAGGACCCCTCCATTCCCAAACAGCTCATAATTATTACTTTTGTTGATACTAACACAAGACTCAAGAAAGTTGCTTCTTTTACACATGGAAGCATTTGGTGACTTAATCACATCGTTCACTTTGGGGTAACTTCTGTTTGAGTCATCTATGAAAATTTTCAACAAAATTTCCAGAAATTTCCTTGAATAGGGACCAACATGACCACATTCATGTGGATTTGTAGTAAAGTTTTCTCTACCTTTTTCATCTGCCTTCATGGTATGCTGATCATCCTCTTTTGTCACACAATTCTCCATACTGCTTCCACGAGTTGTCACGCAACCCTCCATCGTGCTTGTCACGCAATGTTCCATTCTAGTTGTCACACAATTGTTAAGATCATGGCGCTCTTTTGTAGCATTGGCGTACAATTTATCTTCATTTGTAATTTCCACGAAAAATTTTGCATTTTGTAGTACCATCTCAAGACACCACTCTGTACAACACATAATCCCCTCTTGAATAAATCCCTCGACGATTTCATCCGTGAATATCGCAACGCCGTCACAAAAAATACGAAAGTTATTTTGAGGATTAGAAACCAGACACTCAAAGGCGTACATGACTCTCCTAACATCCCCAGAGAACAAATCCAAAGGACAATAATTGCTTTCTTTCTTGTACTTTCCTTCTTTGACTTTCGATTTTTGAAGCATACAATACTGACAGACAGAATACTTTGTTACTCTACTGAGATCAATGTACTTTGACGAAGGAAGAAAGCCACACTTTGGTTTTAATTCAACAGAGAAAGTTGGATAGTTCGTTTCATTTTCAGTCTCAATGGAGAGTATACCACTAGAAGGTAGGAAGCAGAAATCTGGCATGACTACACCCCATAGACAACTTTCGTCAATCTCTTTATCAAGTCTGTGATCGGGACGCAAGCCTCGGCATATTTCGGTCATTGATGATATAAAGACTTCAGGAACTGAAACCACTTTTCCCACATGAACGTAGTCCTCTCCCATCAGTGGTGACATAACGTGCTTGGCGAATTCAAGGTTTTGTAAGATCTCTCTCATGTAGTTGCAATTTTCTTGATCTGCTTTGGAAAGTGAATTATTACCATAGCGCTTTCGCAAACGCAAGACAGCTTTCAGCTTACGAAGCGATAAAACCATAGTCCAGGCTCCTTCACACCGATAACTCCACTCATGCAGGTCTTGGAAATACGCGGAGACACTTGATAATAATGTTTCGCTTTCCGAAATGTCCGCCATATTGCCTTGAGATTCCTCTGGACATTTTTCGTTTATATTTATATGACAGGGTACTTGAGTCACGCTCTGTGTCATACTACATGACAGTCAGATCAGCACACGTGCGACTTTCCAAGATGGCGGAAAAACAGGCTAAGGTTGCGAAGAGAAAAAAGAAAAGAAAACCGAAAGATTCTTATGAGTTTTCACTCGGGGATGTTCTTGCGGTCGGAGGAGACAAGGCTGGTAGCATTTTAAAATCTTTTTTCGCATC